TTTACTGATAAGTCTACTCTCCGGCGGCACACCTCAGTAAGAAACAGTCTGGCTTCTTTAAGAATGACACACGGCTGGTCCTTAGGGACGCATAACCCTAGATATTCAGAAGTGCTCTCACCATTCCATAAGGTGGTTGTAGAAGATGACAGGTCTTTCTCAGGCTTCCTCTGCAGTGAGTACACTCACAGTGTGAATGAAGTGCAGGACCAAGTCTCGAGGCCCAGGAAGGCACAATCTGTGATAAGTGGTGGTAGAAAGATATTTGACCATTAGTGAAAGGGCATTTTGCTGCAGTAGAAACTAAATTTGTTGAAGAGAGACTATTGTTTTAAAAGACAGACTTGTTAGTAAGTAGCTGTGAATTGGGAGACTTACAGATACTTGTTCAGAAACACATCAAGTGACTTTTGTTTTGTGTTTGATTTGTAGATACATGATAAGAATACTCCATGGAAGTCTTTCCTTGTTATTGTAGATGGCTCACCCAAGAATGATGAAGGGCACAAGACTGAACAGCCTGATGAAGAATATGCGTCATCCAAACTTTCAGATAAACTGCTGTCTTTTGCAGAAAACGGCCATTTTCACAACCTGGCCACGGTCCAAGACAGCGTGTCTGCCGTGCAGGAGAACAGTTCTGCAGACACGGCCTGCAAGTCACATGATTCCATGGTGTCCCAGGACGCTCTGCTGGCCACCACCATCAGTGAGCTTAGTGAGCTGACTCCGCAGACAGACTCGATGCCCGCACAGCTTCACTCTTTGACCAACATGGAATAAGAGCTTGGAGTTACCTGCCAAGCAGGTCTCATCCTGTGTCTGTGTGTGTGCTAAGTGTACACAAGATCACGTCAGGGGCTAAGACAAAGAACTGTCTCTGGGCAAAGCAGTGGGCAAGAATGGCTTCAGCAGGTTTCCCTGAATTTTTGCTAACTTGCACGTCTTTAAAGCTTTCTCTTAAAAACCCTGATCTGCATGACTTCAGCTACACTTTATCAACAAACAAGGCAGTTAACATAACCTCACTTAATTCTGGTGTAGGTTGTATGTGTTAATCATTCTAATGCTTGATTGTCTTGATGTTTATGAAGTGTAAACAACTGCTTAACTTTATAGTACAGAGCATTGATCCAGCTCATGAAATTGTCTCCCTGGTGTCTTAGGCTGCCTTATATTTCCATGTGTGTTTATTTGTGATACTTTCAAAGTATTTTTCTACAAAGCTGAAATAAAACCAGGGCCATGTATTTTCAGCTGTTTCTTTCCTGTTGAAGCAAATCAGATTTGCTCTGGGGACCCTCGAATGGTACTGAAGGAATGGATAATTGCATTCATTCCCTTCCACCCCCGTTTGTAGGCGCTAAAAAGGAATGACAAATTGAACACTTGTGAAATAGCTTAGTATAATGTCTACTTACAGCACATATGCAGCTAGGAAATTTATCACAAAATAACATTTTTTTGGTGAGGAAGATTGGTCCTGAGTAACATCTGTGCCAGCCTTCCTCTTTTGTATGTGGGACCCTGCCACAGCATGGGTGGATGAGTGGTTTGTAGGTCCACTCCCAGAATCTGAACCCGTGAACCCCAGGCTACTGAAGCTGAGGGTGCGAACTTAACCACTACACCATTGGGCTGGTCCCACAAAATAACTTTTTTTTTTTTTTTTAAAGATTTTATTTTTCTCCCCAAAGCCCCCCGGTACATAGTTGTATATTTCGTTGTGGGTCCTTCTAGTTGTGGCATGTGGGACGCTGCCTCAGCGTGGTCTGATGAGCAGTGCCATGTCCGCGCCCAGGATTCGAACCAACGAAACACTGGGCCGCCTGCAGCGGAGCGTGCGAACTTAACCACTCGGCCACGGGGCCAGCCCCAAAATAACTTTTTTTTTAAGGAAGATTAGCCCTGAGCTAACATCTGTACCCATCTTCCTCTACTTTATATGTGGGATGCCTACCAGAGCATGGCCTGATAAATGGTGTGCAGGTCCGCACCCGGGATCCGAACCAGTGAACACTGGACCGCTGAAGCAGAATGTGGGAACTTAACCGCTGCACCACCGGGCCAGCCCTCCACAAAATAACTTGAAATGAAATGTGGCTGTTCAGTTCCATTCTGGAAAGTCTGATTAGGTAAAAGCTGTCCTACCAAAGATTATAGCAGCAAACAGTGTAGTAGTTTTTGCAAAGAGGTGTGAAAAATGAAGCAAGGGGCTTTAGAACACCTGAAACATCAGTACAGTCATTTTATTCATGAGTAGCAATGAGATGATTGTGGCAAATCTTAGAACACAGAGTATTAGTATTTTTGCTAGGTTTTCCTGACTTAATTTCTGTAATTTTTAGAAACCCAGAATTTGTCATTTTCCACATCAAGAGCTTGAAACAGACAAGTAATTGTCAGACATTTGTTTCCTTGGAAGCCTGTAAGAATACAGCAGAGGGGAGTGAAAGCCTTGGTACCTTCATCTGTGATGATGCTTTCAAAGTACAGAACCACTAACTGTCTTAAATGCTCCTTTGGCTGTCTCATTCTGGCCTTTTGCTCGAAACGAATTTGCAACGACAAGACAATTCTGTATTTGCTAACCCTGACTCTTCCAGTGGCTTGGGTGTATTGCCGCAATGCAAAGTGCTTTGGCTCACATATAGCCCTAAACGTGTTACCTTAAAAAGAGAACCTTGAAGGAGGAGAGTTCTTGTGTTCACTAGTTTTTCCTATGTTTTAATTTATTAAACTTGCTGTGAAAACTTTCATTTTCTAAGAGAAAGTTACTTTCTCGGTAAGTTCCAGGATGAAGATACAGCTGCACTATGCCAGAAACTATGAGGGAAGGAAACTTTCTTCCTGAGTGCTTATTTTGTTCTAACTTGTGACATGGGAAAGTGAATACTAAAGCCGCTCTGAGGTGTCTTAGGTGCTGATCACACTTCACACGTACTCTTGAAGGTAGCAGTATTGAATTACTTCAAATTCAATTATGACAACACATCCTGGTTGTGTTTACAGAACAAAACAGTAGTGACTATCACACAACCATTTTATTCTTGGTGAGAGAATGAGCCTGCCTAGCTGAGGCACTGTTTCAAGGAATAAAGTCATCCCAATGAGAAGGAATTTAAATAACAGATTATTTTGTTACCTACTGGAATAATTTTTGTCTTGAATTTGTTTCTTTAGAAGTTCTATAATAAATTGTTTAACGTGTTAATAAATGTTTGCTTTGTAAAAGTAGTTTTGCAAGTCTAAGTTTATTTCCATTATTAGAATTTAGGCTCTATAGAAATAACACTAACTGAAACAAGTTGAATTTCCTGGACAATGAAATTTAAAATCAGTGTCTATGGTCCTAGGATTAATCCATTTAACTATGTGAATTGCACTGCACATTTATTCTTTAGAAGTGGAAGGCCTGGTGATGAGTAACTGACCTCCGCTTACGTGGAAACCATCTGTGCAGCTGAAGTGTGTAAGGGGACTGTTTCTTCAATGTAATGTTAAAGTCTGCATCACAGAGACTTCTCCAACTATATCCATTTCTCTGGCCTCTTCCTGGGAGGGTAGGGCTGCCCGAGAACAGAGAAATCCAAACACCTTGGAGAAGACTCATCACAGAGAGATTTGTGAGTGTCTCCCTCTATTTCTCTTAATCCAAGTACAGCCTCACTGAGTGACAGCAAGGCAAACCTCGGAGCATGTCAGTCCCAAATCTGTGATTAGGAAAGTGCCCTTGGTGCTGGCCCTGCTTCTGCCAGGGCATCAGGAAAGGCTACTGAGAAGGTAATTAGTGCCTTCCAACCATTTCTGGGAAATACTCTCAGCCCAAACTCCAAAGTGCTCTAATGCCTTTGGTTTTACCAAAATTTGTTGTACAGTTTGGGGAAAAAAGGGCCATGTGGTGGGGGAGGACCTTTATTAAAGCTGATTTTAACAGAAATGTCATTTTGCTTAGGTAGTGTAAGTTATAATTCTAGCCTGTTAAATGTTATACCTTGCTGCACCAGGGACATTTTTTTGCGACCAAATGAGTCCTGTCCCCTAACTAAGCTTGATGGTGTTCACATCACTTGAGGCAACAATGTTATCTCGGGGAAGGGGGCGCACCCATACAAAGGGGCATTTGTTCACAGGTACCGAGACGAGCAGAAGGAACTGAGCAGGCTACAAACACGGGTCAGAGGGCCACGTGTCATGTCACCCTGGCCAAGCCCCAGAAACCACCCACTTACCTTTGCCAATCTGCACAGGGACTCTGACCAAGACTGGCAAAACCAGGTTTTTAAATCACCATGGTGGCTTCTATTCGGAAATGATGATTCTGAGAAGAGACATTTGAATGATAAACTAACCTTCAATGATCAACAACTCAGTATTCCCAGATTGGGATGGCCTGTTCTACCATTCATCTTTTAAAATTTGCTTTGAATTATCTTTAAGTTGTTGTGAATATACTTACAGACCTGAACGCTGCTCTCTGACACGATGAGCTGGCCTGCACTAGCCTCACACAGCATCCTCTTCCTCCACAGAATGAGGCCCAAGTGGCCAGTGGGCTGCACCCTCCCCAGGGGCACGTGCCACCCCTGTAGAGACATCTGCGAAGTTCAACACAGCCAAGAGAGTTGAGTGGCTTCAGAGTTCCTCACCCCCAAAGCCTCCAAGAGTGTTCCAGGAAACACTCTTCCCGCAACTTTCCAAGTGACTGCAGACTAAAGGATGTAAGCAAGATTCCTTAATGGGGCAGCAGGAAGAGATGTGAGTGTGAGGCTTCAGAGAGAGCGTGCAAACCTGCAGTCCAGGCTGTAGTCAGCGCTTCCTTCATAAACCCTCTGCCTGCAAAATGGTTACAGTGCCCTGACTTTCCACCAAGTGACGGAGGCTGTAACGTAGTCAAATCCATGTTTGGATGGACTTTCAAACAGCCTGGAGAATATGAGCGTCCACTGCCTTAAACTTCATGGAACAACTTCAAGGAAGCCAGGAAAGACCCATCAAAGTGTTACTCATAATTTCCACTTTATTTACTGTACAGGTTCACATAAAATATACATACTCTTTCTGCTAAGGTAGATTTATTGTCACATGGTTAGTTTTCATAACATAATCCTCTGCTGAGAGAATGAGAGAGGAGCACCCCACAGTGACCGACTCAGAACTTCATGGGCAGGAACCTGCTCCTGATCACAGCTCACACAGCAGGCAGGCGGGTCACAGGTGGCATGCTGTGCTGCCAAATCCTCTGAAGAAAGCCACAGCAGTTTGCATTTGGACATTTTAAATGCACAGTATCAGAGGAAACATTAAAAGCACACACTTTGGTTATAGAGACGCCATCACAAATAGTCACGACTGTGCAAAAACACTGCTTTCGAATTATTAAATAAAAAAGGAATTCACACAAGGTATAAAAATGCTGCCACAAGAAGCAAAGCTTTCCTGTAAGAAATTTTAACCGACACTGACTATGAACTAACCCCAGATTTGCTAAAATACAAGAACTGTAACGTAAATAGTCATTATGTTTTGTCATAAACAATATAAATTCTGAAACTCTAACTCGGCCTCTGAGTCACGGTGCTGCTCCAACAGTGAGGAGGCATTTCAAGGAACGAAGGCTGGATACTGTTAATGGGACTTTTTTCTGCTCATTTTTCTTTTATCTTCCGGCAGGTCTGTTCTAGCCATTACAATTATTTGTATTCTTTCCATGTGAAAATATTAAAAACAGAAAATTCTTAACTCAGGCACTGAGCCCAGTGTTTATTTCAATAAAATAAGCAATTCTTTGATTGACATAATAAAATGCTACCACTACTATTTTTAAAAAACCATACGTCTTTCTTCAGATAGGTGTTTGCTAGGGGATCATGATGAAAGCTGAACAGAATTGCCTTAAAAGAAATCGCTGGTTTTCATTTTAAGCGGTCAGATCAGAAGGTTCTTTTAACAAGCGGAAACAAACTTTCTAGACCGTCATGAAACAAGCATGCTGGCTGGCTGGGATCTGAATGCTCTCCAGATGGGACAGATTGCATCCAGGGACACAGGCTACAAAGTGCACTTGGTTGTGGAATAGATTATATAGAGCAACAAGAACCCACCGTTCCCTCTCATCTTTTTGTCATAAGGAAACGGGAAAATGAAGAAGTACCAAACGGGCTCCATTTCAGATTGTACCATAGTGATGACTGTCTTTCTTTTAAGAATCCCAGACCTTTGAAGAAAGGAAAGAATCCTCATCAGATTCTAGGGTGCAAAGCCAGAGTATCCATGTTTTCTGGCCCATTCCCTCCACCCTCAGCCAACACTGTGACATCACTCACCTTCCTCTCCATCAGTCCACCTTGTGTAGGTGACCCCACAACTACGGCCAGGGAATCTTCACGGCCACCTAACAGACAGCCTCCATAATTGGGCCTTAGCTGGCCCTTTTCAACTTCCTTTCCTGCTACTTTCCCCTTCATCCCAGACTGACCTATTCACCATCCCTGAACCTTCCTTCTCTCTCAGCCCTTGGCCTGGGCACACCCACTCTACTTCTGCCAATGAAAGCCTACCAATCCCAGTTGAAGGACATCCAAAAACGAAAACATCATTCAAATACCAGTTACCATCTGACATAATATGGGAAGTTTCATTCTCTATCATTAATGTCAGCAGCACAATTTAGAAAGAACCACAGGCTATCACTGACAACAAATGCACATCAAACATAAATCATTTAAGCCTAAAAATATGCAGAGGAGTTTCTGACCACGTCTAAAGTACAACGTCAGCATGTAACATAATGGGTAGGGATCAAGGTCAACCGAGCACATATTATATCAACCGAAATAACAGGACAGAAATCAAACACATAAGCTAAAACAATTCCAACAGCTAAGAGGAAAAATCAAGTCCCCTTGGAAGCTAATTGGTGTTCTTCCCCAGCTGGGCATATATATAGTAAACCTGTGTACTGTATTTACCCTACCTAACTCATCACATTCAATAAATGGATAAAATTAATGACACACCTTCTCAAGCTTCCACTTAGATAATCTGCAGGCCCTGATGCAGATTTACGTGGTGGTGGCACAGAGGGCACCATCTCAACGTGGGAAAGTGTGTTAACATGAAAGTGAAGAAAAGAGATGTGCCAGTTAAAACATCTTTACGTGAACATAAAGAAAGGGATTTTGAACCCAACTAAAAGTGAAAACTATCTCCAGGAAAACAAAAAATTCTGTTTCTTATAGATCTTGTGTGTGTACAATCAGTCAAATTCATCTTGACATTCATCCACACGGCAGCAAGCACTGCCAGGAAGCTCCCTTTTCTTACAATGTAAGTGATGCCGGCAGACCTTGGCTGTTCTGAATTTTTGCATGCACGTTAGCATACAGAACAAAAAAAGCAAAGAGACTGGCCACTAGCACCACCAAAAGAATCACAAGACCACACAGACACACACTCAAAAACAATTTCTAAAGAGGAAAGGCATAAACTCATTCCTAACAACCATCCTAAACTAAATACGTACATTTAGAGAATACATCCAGATGCAAATTTACAGAGAATATGCAGAGCATCTATCAGAAAAATTGGGTGGGGTACTCAAGTCCAAGATAAAGGATACAAAAACGTGGCAAAATGAAACAGGCTCTGCAAATATCAAAATAACAAGAATATGATTCTGAAGTAATTCTCAGGAAACTCTGGGGACTCTGGCAAGCGTGAAACAGCCCATCACACTCACAATATGCACAGGCACTTCCCATCCGTCCACTTCAGCGACACAAACATGGTGAGCTTAAATTAAACAACACACATATCTCGTTTCACTCATGTGCACAAAATGAAGCCATTAAATGGGCACTCCATAAAGATCACTGGGCCTAAGATGGAACTAAAGAGCAGTTAGCTGCATGCCACAAAGACAAGCATTTCACTTGAGGTCTCCGTCTCCTTCTCCATCCCCTTGAATGGATTTTTTGATGCGAAGCAACATGGTAGTAAGCCACTGATCCAAGCGAGATATTGAGTCAAACTCCTTCACCTAGTTTAAGAAAAGAGCAACAGGGATTATCCCAAGGAAATACAACCAAAACCCAAAACAACATGTGCAAGCTGTTTAAACATTTACAATGATAATCTGACAACTTTTCATTTACAATCATTCATTCCAGTTTATAATTTTCTTCATTAAAAATTGTTTATTTTTTCATTATCCTGTGACTACTTTGATGGAGCTAGTGACAAGTTCCTCTGCTTTTTATATTGCTCTGTATGCTAACATGTGATGGCCAAAATTCCTAACAGCCTTTTCATGATTGGAAGAAAAGCACATTTAATGTGACAAAAGAAATGAGACGCTGTATAAGAAGGAAACACGGAAAATGGATACTGCTCCAGAATTTCACTAAACATGACAAAAACAGACTTGCAGAGATTGGATGTGTGGATGCAGAATTCCTTTAACTCATTTCAATGTGCTATCAAAGAATGAAATTTCAATAGAATGAAAATGGTTTGGTAGCAAAAGTTAAACAGGAAAATATTCCTTTCCACCATGGCTTCAAAGCCATGATGAACATACTAATGGAGGATACTGAGAAATTTGCTCGATTCTAAACATAAGATGGCAAAAGATGGGAAAACAAAAAACTGCTTAGTGGAAAGAAAAAATCTTCCATTTATCTTATGCCAAGAATATTGCAAACTCTCATTGCTGTTTTCATATTTGAAACTGTACTTAACTGACTTTACACCTATTTATGGATCAGATTATTTTCAAAAGAAAACATTCAAATATCAAATTGAAATAGTATGCGATAATCTCTCTCAGATTTGCCTCACAGCTAAATTAAGCATGCCTAATGGAACTGTTTACTTGTAAAGGTTTGTGGGATATATAAAACATGACCTTTGGAAAATACATTTAGGTATACTGGAATAATGTTCAAATAAACATTCAGCATTTACACAATAAAAAGAACAAGAAATTTCTGTAACTTAAAACTTCAAACAATGTACTATATCCCAAAGCACAACTTACTGCTTCAGTGTAAGCTTCACTGTTCTGTTCTTCATGAGCTTCTAGAAGTTTCTGATAGCATAAATATGGAAAAATGAGTTTGGTGGTCTAAAAACTTCCATTTATAAGTAGATATTTTAAATACAGAAATAGCCTTAGTATCACATTAACTGCTGTTGCCAAATACTTTACAAAATTGGGAAAATATTCAAATACAAGTGAATAATTACTCTAAGTCAGGAATCCAGTTTTTATGCCAACAATTTCTGAATTTCTTATTTCAGAATAAAATGCTTAAGTCCCTAACTCCAGTGGCATTTGAGACCTATTACACAAGAGCAACAAAGTACCAGGGCTTTTCAGCAGACTTCGCTTTATATCCAATTCCACCTGACAGCAAAGGTTTTTTCCTTCAAGGTGTACTATTACTTACTTTCAACAATTTACATTCTCTTGAATCAGTAAATGCTGGAAACATTTCCTCATATTTCTCAAGAGCAAGCTGAGAGAAAAAAAGCCACTTGTTAATGTCTGACTCACTGAACCAGAAAAGAAAGCTTTGAACATTCTACTAACTTCAGTAAAGTTCATCTACATCCTGTTTAAGCATATAAAAAGTATGCTGTTAAACTCAACATCAAAATTAACAGAAAATTTATTTTGAATTTTTAATTTCAGTTAAGAATTTTTAGAAGAATTTTTCTGAAATAAGTTGCTGTAGAGAAGAGAAGGTGAACCAAATCTAATTTCTGAAAAGTCACAGACCAGGTGTCTGTTTTCATCCATTAAATGGAGAAGCTCTTCCTTAACATTGTCCAGACTCCAAACACATCACAGATAGACCACTGCTCGAGGCCGGAGGGGAAAGCACCTTTTCTCTCAGAGGTTTCAAGCCTGCCCTTCTGACTCCAGAAACTGACAACACCAAGGCTGCCCAAGTCTCTGCCTCTTGTCTCTCAGCTTTCACTTTATCCCAATCCTCATTCCAATTCCCTTTGAGTTTAAAAAAAGGATGTTAGTCTACTTTTATTGTCTCCCTCATAGCCCCTTAATTTCTTTAAAGCAAAACTACTGAAGGAAATGTGGCTACCAGGGAACTTTAAGAGACCAGCTTCGGCAGCTGTTACAAGATTACAGGCGAGACATGTATCATGGTATTATTATTATTATTATTATTATTAACGTACCCAGTTTAGTCTTGCTACTAATGAACACAACCCAAACGAAGTGATCACAAGAATGACAGTTCCCGGCGGCCTGTCCTCATGTGTGAGTGTATCAGAAAACGAGTGCTGAAGGGCTCTTTACCTTGGCATTCAGTTCATCCACTATGAAGTGGCAGAGGGCTGCTTTAAAGAAGTAATCCTTCGCACTGTACTTCAACAAAGGATTATCCATAGTGTTGGCCCCAACCTAGGCACAGAAAGCAGAGCTGGATTTAAAAGATTTACCTCCTTATCTCAGGCAAAGTGATTCTCATCTATTGCCCTTTAGAAAATACTTCCGCTTCTTAGGTTAGTTTAACATGAAATACATTCCTTTAACCCAATATCATATACTAGAAAATTTTACAAGAAACAATACATAATACTTAAAGTGCTGATCTGTTAAAAATGCCTCAGAAGACCTCCACTTCGAGGAAGGTGGAATAGACATCCTTTCCTCTATTCCTCCTGCTAAGTACAACTAAAAGCCCCATCATTTGATATAAAACAAACATAAGAAGACTGAAAGGTGGAGACAAGAGAGCAGAAGGACTAGGGACCTTGAGACACAGGGGAAAACATGGCAGTGAGTTCCCTAGGTTTTCTTTTTCTTTCATATATCCTTGACTTGGAACAGAAAAACCCAGCAACCTATAAATGCCACTGGGTGTAGCAAAAAACAAAAAGGAGAATAGATAAAAGTCTGCTCTCTCTAGTCAAAGGACTAAGAAAGGGGCAGCCTAGAAAGACAGAAAATGTTTAGATAATCAATGTTCTACTCCAGCCAAACACTACCGGAAAACTTCCCCACTCACATGAGCAAAGACTGAATAGGGAACCAATACATCCACCTTTTTAAGACTGCAAGGAGGAGCCCAACATTCCTGTCGAGGTGGCTTCAGAGAAGGCCAAGTAGGGAGCCAAGCCTTCATCCCCATCAGCCAGTAACAACTCTACCCTCCATCCCTGCAGCTGAGGCAATGGAGACCAACCACATGGGGAGAATGGATTCCACCTTTACTCAGGGGGAATGAGGCACCCCTCATTTCCCAGTGGGCATGCTTTCAGAAGAGGCCTAGAGGGGGGTTAAGACTTTCACCATCACCTGGCTGTAACAAGGAGGACACCAGCATGGCACTGGTAGAAAGCAAGCAGGGGCTGGGATGGCTGCCTTTGCCCAGAATTAACAAGGGTCTCCCCTAGATGTCAGTGGAGGTTGAGTGGGGAGCCTGAACTTTGAAATCCACCTAGCAGTAATGAGGTGACACACCCCTTCCCTAGTCAGAGCAGTGTCAAAGAAAACCAGCTGACAGAGTTGGTGTAAGTAAGATCCAGTCTCATAACATAATATGAAAACATCCAGTTTTCAATCAAAACTCACACACATACCAAAAGAAGAAAAGATCTCAAGCTGAAAGAAAAAAAGACAACCAACAGATTACTGCTCTGAGATGACAGAAATATCTAACAAAGATTTTAAAGGAGCTCTCATAAAAATGCTTCAAAGAGCAATTACAAAAACTCTTGAAACTAAAGAAAAAACAGATAGCATCAACAAAGAGAAAGAAATTCCCCACAAAATATCCCCCCAAATATAAAGAAGAAACAAATGAAAATTTCAGAACTTTTTATACAAAAACCCACATAAAAAGTGGATGGGCTGAACAGCAGAATGGATGGGACAGAGAAAAGAATCAGTGAACTGATGATAGAACATTAGAAATTACTCAGTCTGAAAGACAAATACCACACAATTTCGCTCATATGTGGAAGATGAACACACGAACAAAGAGAACAGATTAGTGGCTACAAGAGGGGAAGGAGGCCGCGGGGGTAGTGGGCAAAAGTGGCAGGGCACACATATATGGTCACTGATAAATAATAATGTACACCTGAAATTTCACAATGTTAGAAACAATTATGATCTCAATAAAATAATAATAATAAAAAAGAAATTAGTCTAAACAACAGAGAGGTAAGAAACAGAAAAAAAAATGAACAGAGCGGCAGGGACCTACATGACCAAAAAATAAGGTCTAACATCCAGGTTGTCTGAGCCCTGGAAGAAGAGGAGAAAAAGAGGGGGGCTGTAAAAGTACCTGAAGAAATAACGGCTGAAAACTTCCCAAATGCAGCAAGAAACATACACCTAGAGATTCAAGAAGTTTAGTGAAACCCAAACAGAACAAAAGCAAAGGTATCCATGCCAAGCCACATAAACTTCTGAAAACTGAAGAAAAAAATTTTGAAAGCAACCAGAGGAAAACAACACCTTACTTACAGGGGAAAACAAAGTTGAATGAGAGGAGACTTCTCATCAGAAACCATGCAGGCCACAAGTGTAACATATTTCAAGCACTAAAAGAAAAGGACTATCAACTCAGAACTGCACACCCAGGAAAATATGCTGCAGGAATGGAGGGGAAATCAAAACATTCCCAGATGATGTAAAACTGAGAGAATCTATCACCAGTAGACCAACCCTAAAAGAACAGGAAAAGGATATTCTCTAAATAGAAAGGAAACAATAAAAGAAGGAATCTTGGAACATGAGGAAGGAAGAAAGCACTCACGAAGCAAAACATGGGAGCATACAATGGGCATTTCTACTCCTCTTGAGTTTTCTAAATTACGTTTGATGGTGGAAGCAAAAATTATTACCACTGACTGACACAGTTCTAAGAGTATGAAGAGGAAATATTTAAGACAATTATATATTGAATGGTGAGGGTAAAAGGTCAGAAAGTAAGATAAGATTTCCATATTTCACTGGAGCTGTTAAAATGATGACACCATTAGCCTGTGATAAGTTAGGTAAATGTAATATCTAAAGCAATCACTAAAAAACTATTCAAAGAGATATACTCAAAAACACTATAGATAAGTAACTTACTGGAAGGCAGGAAAAGAAAATAGAGAAATGAAAACTAAAGCATTCTCCAAGATAGATCACATATTAGGCCAAAAAGAAGTCTCAATAAATTTAAGAAGACTGAAATAATACCAAGCATCTTTTTTGATCACTATAGTACGAAACTAGAAATAACCTACAGGAAGAAAATTGGAAAAGCCGCAAATATTTGGAGATTAAACAAAATCTCCTGAACAACGACTGGCTCAAAGAAGAGATCAAAGGAGAAGTAAAAAAAATACCTGGAGACAAATGAAAATGAAAATATGACAAGCCAAAATTTGTGGGATACAGCAAAAGCAGTTCTAAGAGGGAAGTTTATGGCAAAAGGCACCTACTGCAACAAACAAGAAAAATTTCAAATAAACAATCTAACAGTGCACCTAAAAGAACTGGAAAAAAGAAGAACAAATAAAGTCCCAAATCAGCAGAAGGAAAAAAATCAGAGCGGGAATAAATGAAAGAGACTAACAGAAAAAATAAATGCAACCAAGAACTAGTTTTTTGAAAAGATAAACAAAATCGACAAACTTTAGCTAGACTCACCAAGAAAAAGAGAGAAAGTTCAAATAATCTCAGAAATGAAAGAGGACAAATTACAACAGACACCTCAGAAATACAAAAGATTATAAGACACTACTACAAAAAGCTATAGGCCAACAAATTGGATAATCTAGAAGAAAAGGATAAATTCTTAGAATCATACAACCTTCCAAAACTGAATCAAGAAGAAATAGAGAATTTGAATAGACCAATTACCAGTAAGGAGATTGAAACAGTAATCAAAAACCTCCCAAAAAATAAAAGTCCAGGACCAGACGGCTTCCCTGGTGAATTCTACCAAACATTCAAAGACAACTTAATACCTATTCTTCTCAAACTCTTCCAAAAAACTGAAGAGGAAGGGAAGCTTCCTAACTCATTTTACAAAGCCAACATTACCCTGATACTAAGACTAGACAAGGACAACACATAAAAAGAAAATTACAGGCCAATATCACTGATGAACATTGATGCAAAAACCCTCAACAAAATACTAGAAAATCAAATACAACAATACATTAAAAAGATCATGTACAATGATCAAGTGGGATTTATTCCAGGGATGCAGGGATGGTTCAACAACCACAAATCAATCAATGTGATACACCACATTAACAAAATGAAGAATAAAAATCACATGATCATCTCAATAGATGCAGAGAAAGCATTTGACAAGATACACCATCCATTTATGATGAAAACTCTCAATAAAATGGGTATAGAAGAAAAGTACCAAAACCTAATAAAGGCCATATATGACAAAGCTAAAGTTAGTATCATACTAAACAGAAAAGAACTGAAAGCTATCCCTCTAAGAACAGGAACCAGACCAGGATGCCCACTGTCACCACTCTTATTTAACATAGTATTGGAAGTCCTAGCCAGAGCAATCAGGCAAGAAAAACAAATAAAAGGGATCCACACTGGAAAAGAAGAAGAGAAACTGTCACTATTTGCAGATGACATGACTCTATATATAGAAAACTCTAAAGAATCCACAAAGAACTTTTAGAAATAATAAATGAATACAGTAAAGTTGCAGGATACAAAACAAACATACAAAAGTCAGTTGCACTTCTACACTCTAATAACGAAGTAGCAGAAAGAGAAATTAAGAACATAATCCCATTTACGACTGCAACAAAAAGAATAAAATACCTAGGAATAAATTTAACCAAAGAGGTGCAAGACCTGTAAACTGAAAACTATAAAGCACTGTTGAAAGAAATTGAAGAAGACAAATAAATGGAAAGATATTCTGTGCTCTTGGATTGGAAAAATAAACATAGTTAAAATGTCCATACTTCCTAAAGCAATCTACAGATTCAGTGCAATCCCTATCAAAGTGCCAATAACATTTTTCACAGAAATAGAACAAAGAATCCTAAAGTTTATATGGAACAATGAAAGACCCCAAATAGCCAAAGGATTCCTGAGGAAAAAGAACAAAGCTGGAGGTATCACACTCCCTGATTTCAAAATATACTACAAAGCCATAGTAACCAAAACAACATGGTACTGGCACAAAAACAGACACACAGATCAATGGAGCAGAATCAAGAATGGATAGCTAATTTTCAGCAAGGAAGCCAAGAATGTACAATGGAGAAAGGAAAGTCTCTTCAATAAATGGTGTTGGGAAAACTGGATAGCAACACGCAAAAGAATGAAAGGAGACTATTATCTTACATCATACACAAAAATTAACTCAAAATGGATTACAGACTTGAATGTAAGACCTGAAACCATAAAAC